TCTCCATTGAAACAAATAATAAATAACAAAATAATACTACTATACACTGATGACAGTTCAAATTTATATTGAAAAAGTTATTCCACCATGGGCTGAAAAAGTAACCAGCTGTACTGTATACCATTCAAAGCTGTAAATGAGACTATTGTAGCCCACAGGAGATCACTTTTTAACCCATAAGGCCCAAAAATGTCCTCTAATAGCTGGAACCTCAGGGGTATAGGTTCACCATACTCTTTTAAAAGGTTTTTCTACAGACTCCCTATATTGAAAAACTTCAGGCTTAACTTATAAGATCACATGAATCTTTCTCTACCAATAGGCCTGCCCACTATCTTGAATTACTGCAAGTGAATTCCCTCAATTTTAGTTTCTGTTCTTATACAATTAGTGTGTGACCTTTTTATTTATTTTAGTTTCATGCCATTTTAACTTTTTTCAGTAATACATTTTCCATTCATTAATGTGTGTTATGTAATTATTTATTTAATTAATTAATTTTCAAATCTTTTTCTTTCCTACATTATAGAAGACATGCTTCAGTGCAAATAAATGGGTACCCAAATGCAACCCAGAATGGGATAGATTTAAATTCTTCAAATATGGGGTGTCCCCCCCCCCAAAATTTAGCATAATATCATGCATATCCTCTTCCAGATGTTTCTGTAATGTCTAACGCATTGTTAGCTCATGTAGCCATGTGATTTGTTTCGAGCAATGGCTAGCCAGCCAATAGTTTTTTATTTCAAAGCTAATAGTCACGTCATCATAGAGCAATAAGGCAAAACTATTTTTTGGTCAAATGGCCCTGCCCCAGCCAAGTGGTGTTTGTTTGACAATTTGAAGTTATAGTTTTATAATGGGGGGGAGGGGAGAATCTGACAATGTGTAGTTGAGAGGAATGTGTATGTGTCAGTAGAAGTCAAACATCTGTCTGTTCTTTTTTCCTTTATTGCAATGGTGTCATAACATGCAATCTTCATGCATGAAGACATGAACTTTAATACAACATATACAGCAAATCTGGGCCAGAGATGACAAAGAGTAACTTAACTGTTCTGTACAGCAGCTGAAGTACTCAATATATATTTTAATTAACCTCTGCAATTTGTTCAATATGAACTATTTGCTTGATTTATTATCTGGAAAAGAGGCTAAGAACAGAAAGTCAGTAAACTGGAATCTGAAAATTTACACTTCTCTTAGCATTTTTCACAGAAGAATCCTTTACAGGTTTGAGGCTGAATGTAAAAATTTACACATCAATTGGCCCACGTTGAATGGCTTATACCATAGAAGCTTTTGCCCAGATTAAAATGCAGTAAAATCAAGTGCAAATGTGAAATCCTATTACAGTCCTTAAAGGGAGAAGACTAGTTTTAAAAATAATGTTTTAATGTGCAGCTATTACATTTAATATTTTATCTGCACAATTTACATACATTTAAATACTAACAATATTTATTTATCAGAACTATATATGACATTTTAATAAAGTAGAATTTTCATTCTGTAAATTACAAATACTGGGGCTTAAAATGATGCAATGTTAACATCCTATTATTGTCTCTTTCCCAAGTATTCTAGGTATTAATGCTGTTCTCCAATTATAATTATTTGAAATTAAAATAAATGCACAGTTCAATATCCTGAGCCCTGTGATTTGCACACCACCATTCTACTCCTTTGCTCATTGAATATAATGGTAAAATTCCCATTTATTTCATTCAGAACATGATGTGGCCCAAAGACACTGATTCTCATATATGCTGAAACACCCACTACCCTTTACTGATTTGCATATCTTCATCAGTTCTCTGACCAGGCCCCAAAGGAAATACAGGCTGTCTCTGGGTGTAAAGTATGTCTGGTGAGAAGTGTGTGTTTCTTGTACCAAGTCTGCCAGATAAGACTGAACATCTTTCATTTAATTGCTTATGTGCACCAGGTTTGAAAGACTCGACACCAAGGTAATACATGTTAATTGACTCGGGCTTTCCTCTTCCCTGGTGCAAGTAGTTTGCTGTGTAGGGGGCTTTCAGAAGAGGCCTCAAAAACCAAGATTTTCTCCCTGCTTGACTTGGACATCAATGATTCCATGGCACATTCTGTCAGCATATAGTCTGCCCCAGTGTTCTTGCCCAAACTTTCCTCCTCTCCCACCCCATGCTGTTTTGTAGAGAGATGTCTGCCAGCTGTGTACCCGGTTGCTCCCTTGTGCTGCCAAAGACAGCAGTATTTCAGATGCGGATTGACTCCTGCATGTATTTAGAGCCAACTCTTCCAAACTGCTAATCATGGAAAAGTCCTTATTCACAAGAATAGCCCGCAGACTTCAGTGGGATTACTCTTTGGAGTAAGGACTACTCCCATGGGTAAGGGTTATTAGGAACAGCCTCATAGTTTTGAAAGCTTTTGAATTTGAACTAGACTCAATCAAGTCTAGTTCACAGTCTTGGTCCATATCTTCAAACCTCTCACAGGCCTGGGCCCAGGAGATCTAAAAGATTGCCTAAAACTCCTCGATGAGGACTGTGATTGACAATTCTACTCCTCAGGCACAATGGACCTTTTAAACACAAGGATACAGCACATCCCTGCAAGAGACAGAGCTTTCTCAGGGGCAGCTCTCAGACAGGCCTCACCACCTTCTATTCCAAGGGCAAGGCACACTTCTTTAGCCTTTTCTGATATAAACCCACGTTTTACAAAATAAACAAAAACAACCCTACCAAATCCAAACAGGATAGTGCACACACACAGAGGGAGAGGTTGAGAGAAAGAATAAACCACATGTAACCAATGTTTGTCACATTGTTTCATGCACTGCTGGAAGGTGCGCAGCTACTATGGTGATGCATACATACAAAAGAGCATACATAGAAAAGAACAGAATACATAGAATAGATTTATGATACTTTTCTATAATGTCTGCCCACAAAGGAAGTTGTTGTTGTTGTTGTTGTTGTTGTTTTAAAAAATGCCAAGATACACGCCTAAAAAACCTAATTTGGATATTTTATAGAAAAAAGCAGTTTAAAGACATTGGGTGAAATCTTGGCTTCATAAGTCAATGGCAAAACTCCAATTGACTTCAGTGGGGTAGGATTTCACCACGGTTTTCACCTCAGTAGCCACAGGACAATTTAAACAATAATTAGCAATTGCATTTTGTTTTTGGAAAGTGTATGGCATCTGCCAGTGTTTATCAAAGTAACTGATGGCGTCAAACCTTCCACTGATGTAAACTGAGACAGAACACCCAATAACAATGAGAAAATATATTTTTTCCAAACAGAGTAGTTCTGTGTGTGTGCGGGTGTGTTTAATTTAAATTTAACATGAGACACAAAAATAAGAAAATAAAACCTAAATAAACTAATAAGCTGATATTATAGCTCAAACCTGATGTCTGAATAACTTGAAGAAGAAGAAACATGACATTCAGAGGAACTGAATTGTTGACTCACAAAGCTAAAAAAGCAAAGCAGATTTATATGGACATTTTTCATATTGACTGGTCAGCATATCTATGGGGATTTTATACGTTACATGTAGTTAGTCACTTCTCTCTAATGCAGAGGTCTTCAATCTGTGGGGTGTGCCCCCCCTAGGAGGATGTGGAATAACATTCCGGGGGTGCAGCTGGGGCCCGGACCCGCCCCCACGGGGGCCAGAGAGGGAATGCCACCCAGCTCTGCTCTTGGCCCTGGCCCCGGCTGCCCGCCCAATGCCTAGGGTCCTGGCTGCCCACCCCGTGCCTGGGGCCCCGCCCCTGGCCACAGCTGCAGGCTCCTACCCCAAGCAGTGGCCCCAGCCTCAGCCAGCCATGGCCTCACTTCTGGCTCCGTAGGAAGGGTACAGACAGGGGTCAGATGGGTCACAAGGTAAAAAGTTTGGGGACCACTGCTCTGATGCAATACAGTACACATGGAATGACAGAGAATCCAAACCTGACTCCTATACACTGCTGCAATAGCCACTTTTACCTTATCTCTCATACCTGCCTTGTCATGGATAAAGAAGTTAATAAATACAGTAAGATAATTATACGTGCATTAAGTGTAAAGAAAAAAAAGATTTGCCATACTAGATTAGAACAATGGTCTCAGTGGCCAGTACACGATCCTGCAGAACAAGATGAAACATTTCACCATATAAATATGAAGAGAGGAGGCTAGTCCAGTGGTTAGGACAATTGCCAAAGGCTTGGAAGACCTAGAGTCAATTCCCTGCTCCACCATAGACTTCCTGTGTGACCTTGGGCAAGACACTTAGCCCTGGTCTACACTGAGGGAGGGATCGATCTAAGTTATGCAACTTCAGCCACGTGAATAACGTAGCTGAAGTCAACATACTTAGATGGACTTACCGTGGTGTCTTCACTGCGATGAATCGACTACTGCCGCTCCCCCGTCGACTCTGCTTGTGCCTCTTGTGGCACTGGAGTACAGGAGTCGACGGGAGAACGCTCGGGGGGGTCGATTTATCGTGTCTAGACTAGACGTGATAAATCAATCCCCGCTGGATCGATCGCTACCTGCCGATCCGGCGGGTAGTGAAGACATAACCTTAGACACTCTGTGCCTCACTCCCCCCTCATGGAAAATAGGGATAATAGCGCTTCCCTGCTTCACAGGGCTGTTAGAATAAATACATTAAAGATTGTGAGGGACTCAGACACAATGGTAGCGGAGGCCATAAATGACATGATAGATAGCTAGATACACACAATGCACCTGTGCACTTGTGACATCTTGGGATAAATAATTCCTTACAATCCCTGCAGGCTACCCAGCAGAAAGGTTGATAACCTCCTATTCAACAATTTGACCAATCACATTTGACCAGTCAAATTCCCTAAAATCAGTGGTATTCAGTTGCAAGCGCACTAGGGCAATGTTTATAATACAGTCAATATATTATTCTTCATGAGACTAAACATGATCCACAAGAAACAACAATGTTTTTGGGGGAAAAAAGCACTTTCATGCATTTACCTGCCCCCATTATGAGCCCTGGTGCAGTGTCCTTGGTATGGACTGTTCCTGACACATATGGATTGTCTGCCCAGCGGAGATGGAGATGAAGATGGCAATCAGGCTTTAGGGATAAGAGGAAGAACACAGTATTTTACAAGCTGTTAACAGCAGTTCTGCAACTTTGGTAATTAATGCACAATCAGAAAGTAGCATGCAGTGACAACTGCCTTACAAAAGGGGAAGCGACTGAATTTCATAAGACAGGGTCCAGAATAAAATATTAGTCTGATGTATCTAGCGGGAACCAATTACCCTGGCTCTGTATATTTCCGTGGCCTTAAAACAAGGTCTGCAATTCAGAAAGAGACAGTGTGAAATTATAGCACAAAATAACTTTGTGACAGAGTGACTGCTTGGATCTTTGGAAGAAGCAATAAAAAGCACCAAAGATTTATTTGTTGTTGTTGGTTATCATCATCCCTGGGCTGCCTTTATGCAGTTATCAGCTAAAAGAGAATTAGATTAAAAACAACTATTTCTACTGAAACATCTTCTGTCAGGAAAAAAAATCATTATATGAAAAATATTTTTAAATGACTTTTTTGGAGTGAGTTTGATCGTATCTCTGGTTAATTAACTTACTGCTTTCTGCTCTTTCCACAGTGGTATGTGGAGCTCAATATTCCTCCCACTAAAGTTAATGAAGCATGGCTATTGACTTCACTGAGAACAAGATCACACCCTAAGACCTGGTCTACACTGGGGGGGAGGAGGGGGGAGATCAACCTAAGCTATGCAACTTCAGCTACGAGAATAACGTAGCTGAAGTCAACGTATCTTAGGTCGACTTGCCTCGCGTCCTCACGGCGCGGGGTCAGCTGCCGCCGCTCCCCCGTCAACTCCGCTTCTGCCTCTTGCCGCGGTGGAGTACAGGAGTTGACGGCAGAGTGTATCGGGGATTGATTTATCGCGTCTATACTAGATGTATAGACACGATAAATCAATCCCCGATAGATCGATCACTACCTGCCTGAGACCCTGATTCAAAGCCCATTGAAGTCAATGGGAGTCTTTCCACTGATTTCAGTGGGCTTTGGATCAAGCCCTGTAGCATGAACCATGTATTGCTGTAGCCCAGTCTTCTGAAGGGAGTCAACATCTTCCCTAATCTCAGTCTTTTAATCCTACTATACAGAGAGGGATAAAGATTAGTCTGTGCCCCTGACTACAGACATATATTCTGCCCAAAAATGCAGAGATCTAAGAGTCCAGTGGAGCAGAGAGCCTGTGAGAAAGACACAGGGGGATCTGCTTGTCAGGGCTGTCTCAACAAAAAAACTAAAATGTTGTGGGTAAATGGGACATGTAAACAAACCGTAATAACATCCGTTCACAAAAAGAAAAGGGTTTTTGACATGACTAGCCATTTGACGTACATTTCCAGGGAACTGTGTAACTTCCCCCCCCTCATAATAGGGTAATTGTGTTTTAAGATAAAACAATACAATGCAAAAACAGAAATAAAAGGTATTCATATTTTTAATCCTATTGATGAAGTGCTCTTATTCCCAGAGAAGTTCATTGTGGTGTAAATAATTAATAATAAATGAATGATTGCCTTGAATCAGGATGCCTGGTAGGTAAATTAGAGCACACTTGTCCCATACAAGTCAAATTAAGCCCTAACAAAAGAACGCGTAATGCTGCAGATGGAGCAAACCAGAGATTTATTTGGCTCAATAACTTGTGAAGGCATGGTTAATGTAGAGAAACTAAAACATACATGTAAATCTGGTGTAAATGAGAGGAGAATGTAGCTTGGCACTAGGTGCTTGAGATGACAACTACTGTTCATTTATTTACATTTCAACATATATTCTACAAATAGTTCTTGTGCACACTGGATAAAACATTAAAAGGAACCACTTACAGGTTTGCAGTTGGTTGGTTTACCATTCATATCAGAGATTGGAGGGGTCAGATAGTCCCAGTCACGACCTTTGTTGTAGGTTATTAGAGTTGTAACTTTCCCATCAATTTTCTGATTGGCCAAAAAGACTCCTTTAACACCTCTGACCTGGAGCATAAAATTAAGAGGGGTAATGACCAGCCTGCAAACACTTCTTGAGCATAGATCATTCCTGGTTTAGAGGTTCCTTAGAAACTGAATATTCCAGATAATTACTTACTCTTAAAAAAGAATGGATATTAAAAAAAAGAACAGTTGGTGCTTTTGGTTTCTGAACATATTTTAAGACATTAAGGGCATGTCTATACTACAAACTTTTGCCAATGCAAGTTACGTTGGCATGAAGCTGCTGCAGTTACTATACTGCTTGTGCACATGCACACTTGGCTCCATGAGTCGTCACTGTGCATATTCACCAGGAGTTGTTGTGTCAATGCACACTGCAGTGCACTATGGGTGAGCATCCCAATGTGCAACTCAGCACCATCCAGTGCACTCTCTTTTGGGAAGTTTTGGCAATCCATAGTGGGGCAGAACAAATCACGCAGCGGTGACTGGGAGCAAGGGGTCAACTTCCCAGCGTGCAATGTTCTCCATCCAACGATGTCATCTATCTCCCATAATTGTCATGCCTTTTTAAAAAATTTCACAAACCCGCACTGCTCTCCTCGCTGTCTGCCATCTCTGACAAAAGCACAGAGCCTGCACAGCTCTGTACTACTGTCATGAGCATTGCAAGCACAGGATGCATGATCCTCCAGTATTTGCAGAGCCACAAGAA